CTGACTACAATTTACTCCTAATTTACATTTCAACCAACCTACATATATTGGGAGATGAAACGTAACACTTGTACTTTACTACTAAACATGACTTTATCTCTTAATACAAGTTAACGGTAAATTTGAAATATTTGTCCTGTGAACAATTATTCAACCTCTTTTAATCTTTTTATTTTTTTCTCATGATAATACCTGTCACCGTTGTAAATATGCTGACAGATAACCGAATTCATTGAACGTACTCCAGTAAGTCCACTAAAGATAAAGTGATTTAACTGATGTCGTTATTCCGGAAATAGTTTAAAATGTTGGATTTGATTCATTGAAAACATATGATTTGAGATATGATATCACTAATTCTATTACTTACTGTGATGAATCAGATGACCCAATGACGTCAGTGTCTTGTTCACGTGACTATTTGGGACATTATTATCTATAAATGAAAATACAAAATGTCTACTCAAAGTTGATGAAACAAAACCGAGATTTTTTTATTTGGCATTTTAAAATGCTGTTAATGCAAGAACTAAATTGCGTAATATATCATATTCACTGAAATCCGACACAACACCTACTAAAATACATTGTTGAGCATTATACGGGAATTGTTACAACCAAAATTGTTATTTTTAATACAAATTTACATGATTTACAGATAAGAGTATCACATCGATGAATTTTGAAACCTACGAGGCGACTGAAGAAAATAAACGATCGTTTGGAATAAATGTCAAATTCGATACGTTGAGAAGCACTAGCCTCATCGTTCTGATTAGAGTACGTACGTATATCCTAACGCGAATTATGACTGCATGACCTATATGTCATTACTGAATCAAGAAAGATAACTACAATATCAAAGTTGTGTTCAGTTTATGTCCAGGTTGTCTCCCTTTATTCATTTGCTTTATATATTTACCGGGAGGCATCGTGTCTTTCCCCTGTCAGTGGTCACTGACAGTGTTCGATACAGCTTAACTGTAGACTACGCCTTATCGTGACAAAAACCGAATATTACCGAGGTTATTATCCTCGGGATTAGGATTTTTGACAGAAAGGTGTTGATTACATCCCTAACAATATCTTAATTCTATATTTGTAGTGAAAACCCCTAATAACTGTAGTTCAATCTTCTCGAATACAGGTGGTAGACACTGTCCTGCTTAGGGATGTTTTAGTCCCAGAGGTTTGTCACAACTTGCACGATTCGGAAATGAGTCAGATGCACATTCCTATAAAGATTTTGACATTTTGTATCAGGTCACTTTTGACCTTTATCTCACTCCCGTCCTGGGTTTTAAAAGGTCATTGGCATCAATGGCAAGTCTTACAATGACGTCTGTATGATACAGTACACTTCATTAGAACAGTCGGAGTTATATATGAAGACGGTTAGCAAGTGTGATATATACACATACGGTAATGTCTTGGTTAATGACAAACATAGGCACAACAAAGACACTCTGAAAACGATAATTGCATTTTGTTTATAAACTGACATTATTGCTGCACATTTTAAGTCAGTAAGTACCATGTAACACTCTAATACCGAGGTACATCGTCTCAAATTCTTAACTTACTATTGTCGTTGTGGTGATGGTGAGGGTTATGATCTGGCCCGTGGTTGTGCGGTGAATCTTGAAAAGAAGTTTAAAATTGCTTCATTAAATATTTGAGTTTTACGACATCAAAACGGTCAGTCCGAAGAACTGCATGTGTTATTTAAAGGCAATGGCCCCAGATGATGGGCTGACAGACGATATTACAGTGTAACAGCCCTGAAATGTCAAAACCAACATCGGCAGCGCACACCCGTGCAGATCTTATCAGGTCACATGATACTAGTTGGGGGCTATTCTGTCCAAGTGCATGTTTTCTAAGTTATGCTGAGCAACGACCATTAAAAACGACTTGAGGATAAAGATGTCTTGTACTGGGCGGTTAGAAATGGTATTAAATACACTGTAGCTTAAAATCTGAACAGTTACAATCATTTAAGATCACCTCCCAATGTAAGCGAAGAGAGTAAAACAGTTGCGTGATCGTATTTCAGAGGTAGTGATAAACTAGCGTACGCATACTTGTGACAGAGCGAAACCTTATTACGACTTTATAGTGCTGCCACACTGAACTATACTATCGAAAGCAACCACCACACGTGGCGCGTAATACTAAAAATAAATAAACCAGTAGTTTATCACCATGTCTGTGCATGCGACATTAAGCAATATAACCCCCACCTCACCCATATTTGGGAAATTGAGCTCTACATACAGGTACCGGGTCCTTCCACAATGAGTCTATCAAAGGCTCTAAAGCAATACATTAATATCGCATACACCAGGATGCGTTCCTAGAAAAACATAATTGTTAAAAGTATACTAAAATATAAATCAAAGAACCTTATTTGGGTGATTTTATGTTCAAAACTGAGGAGAAATCTTGTATCAAAAGAGACAATGGGGAGGAGGGGTATATTAAGAAGATACTATTACAAACACTAATGAAAGAGACGACCCAAGGTACATAGAATAAAATAAACCACCAACATGATGTCATTTGAGGTAAACAGTCGCTACTACTTCTATAAATGCACCAAAGAAGTTACCAGCATGTGTACAGATTCAGAATTCAAATATAAATTCAAGATAACATCCTAAGAAAGATTTACATGGCGATTCGTATAAATATTTATGCGAGCGAGAGAAAACAATGCGTTCCGGAAGGGTGATTTTCTTCTGCTTCATCCAAAACCTCCGCCATGTAAATTTTGGTTTTTGGTCAGACCAAGTAAACGATGTCACATTCGCCAATAATATCAAGACAAACAACAATGGAACCGCCATGAAAACCAATGGACATCAAAAGTCAAGCTTCAGTTTTCATATGAAGTATACAATATTTGATTATGACGACCACAAATCTCCCCCATGATCTGCAGCAACATGCATCTCTGAACAAGTGTCGTGAATTCGTCAGTTAGCTGTCGGCATCTAGCACAATAATTCTGAACAGTGGGAATAACCTGCGACATGTAAACACGACCAGTTGGAGATGCAGCATAACATTGAAAAAAATCATGTCGGACAAGAGAGGGGCTTGTTCCAGAAGATAGTCTGTTGGAAGACAATGTTTGTTTCACGTTATACGATTCAGCATACTCCAAAACCATATATTTGTACATCTGTTTTCTCTCGGAAGAGAGAACCATGGCGTTCCTTCAGTGTAGAACATGGTGGTGTGAAGAGTGTAACATTTAGTTTTCGTATAGAATAATTAATCTTTTAGAAGAGGGTGTTGGAAATTAGTTAAAAACTCTTTGGAGGGTTTTTTAAAGCCATACATTCACACACCGTCAATCATCACCGAATGTTTGTCATAATCTTCGAAATAGGTTTTGTAGAACGACTAGACGAGACAGACCATCGCCAGTCATGGGGGGATACACCCTGCACACTTGTGTCGTGTATCATTAGTATAGTCAACAACAAGTATGGCTGAGGACCATGTTCTTACCATGGAGGAGTCCGTTGGTATGGTTTGATGCAGGCTGGGTAGTGATTACCGAACTAATTGTAGGAAGGCTCTCTGAAATATATTGAAAACCCATAAAAATAATTTACTTTCATATTTCATCTGAGAAAATAGAACATTAAAGACATGTAACATTGGGGTAATACAAGTTTTTATTGAATGTTGCTCAAAAAGGGCTCGGAAATTGCATTACGACCGTTATAATAATGGTTCTGACGATCTTATTAATTTATTATTTTCAAATAATTATTTAGACGAAACTAAACATTTGAAACTTAATGTTGCACATGTTGATACGAAGTGTTATCTACTGTACATGCTCGTGTATCTACTATACAGATAGGGCCTTGAAAATTTAAACAATATAAAAAAACATTAATCTTTTTTTAGATATTTGAGAAGAAAACTTCCCTTACCTACTTTCAAAACAAACGACAGTATCACCATCAGTGCAAAACACAAGGCCATCGTCACCGTTTACTTCCCGGCCACAAACTAAAGTAAGCATCGGAATCTATATTTAGACATCGGCATGGCGGGAAACGTCACGCTCTGACCTTTACCATCGTAACAATCTTATCTTATTGAAATGTGGATCAATATTCATGCTTTGGGTCAAGGTCACTATCTGTCCATGTTGTCTTTGATAATACATCGTGTTCCAGCCCTTTTTGATATCGTACATTCCGTGATTGTTCTACACCAAATTAATGGCTCGTTCAGGGACATATACATTTAAACGACAATTGAATTTCTTGTCCGCATGTCGGCTTCTGTTTTCGTCTGTCTGCTTCTGTTTCTCATATGTCCGTATATATATACTGTATTGGCCAAATTACAGAAAAACTAACAGAACACTGATAAACGTGCTCATGCACTTAAATTGTAAATATTAATACTGTTATGATGACAGAGTTGATTTATCAGCTTTTCTACCTCGGCAGTAGCTGTTTATCGCTAATTAACATAAATGTGAATTCTTGTTATATGTCAGTAAAAGTGAATAAAAACAGTGAAACAGTACACAAGTACTATTACAGGATGACGTATCGGTCGCCTTTTCCTTGGTTCTCATTATTATCCGATGTTTAGTTCATTAAACTCTATGAAGAATTTTTATAACGTTAAGGTTTGATTTGGTTTTCATTTATCATTGATTATGACGTCACAAATATTTAAAGATACCTGTTCTACAAAATGTGAAACAATAAAGCTTGTTGATAACGTTAAGGCTTATCTCATACAGATACCAAAGGATAGCAATCTGGTTTGTTTAATCTTTTAGTATGTGTTAACGTCATCGCATCAACCAGTGTCTCACGTATACGAATGTCAAGAGGTAAGCCAAGAATTGGAAAAGACATAGAGAAAACAAGAAGATGTTACAATAGGGACAACAGCTTACGTATACGGATGTCAAGAGGTACGCCAAGAATTGGAAAAGACATAGAGAAAACAAGAAAATGTTACAAAAGGGACAACAGATTACGTATACGGATGTCAAGAGGTACGCCAAGAATTGGAAAAGACATAGAGAAAACAAGAAAATGTTACAAAAGAGACAACAGATTACGTATACGGATGTCAAGAGGTACGCCAAGAATTGGAAAAGACATAGAGAAAACAAGAAAATGTTACAAAAGGGACAACAGATTACGTATACGGATGTCAAGAGGTACGCCAAGAATTGGAAAAGACATAGAGAAAACAAGAAAATGTTACAAAAGGGACAACAGATTACGTATACGGATGTCAAGAGGTACGCCAAGAATTGGAAAAGACATAGAGAAAACAAGAAAATGTTACAAAAGGGACAACAGATTACGTATACGGATGTCAAGAGGTACGCCAAGAATTGGAAGATACATAGAAAAACATCAAGATGTTACAAAAGGGACAACAGATTACGTATACGGATGTCAAGAGGTACGCCAAGAATTGGAAAAGACATAGAGAAAACAAGAAAATGTTACAAAAGGGACAACAGATTACGTATACGGATGTCAAGAGGTACGCCAAGAATTGGAAGATACATAGAAAAACATCAAGATGTTACAAAAGGGACAACAGATCTATTAAAGACCCTCCAATGTCATCTTGGTAGAGACAAGAAAGAACACAACAATGTAGTATGCACGTTTTGAAGCTACCATACTTAAATATAACCACAGCAAGTTGATACTGATGATAAATGGATTATGGTGAAGGTATTTATTCCATCACTAAAACTCATGCATCGGAACAAACGTTGGGCTGTAATCCTTTGCTACTGGTAGACAACATAGAGGTAACGTATCTTTTCATATCTTAAAAAATAAAAATAACACTGTGTGATAAGCGTGATGATTTCATATTCTCTGTTGTGAAAGAATATATGTGGTAAGGACCATATTTTGTCTAACAAAATAATAGTTATTTTTCAAAACCATGTTTTGAAATAATCCATTATTTTGGATGGTCCGTAACCATGGTAACCCATAGCAATAGGACAGACAATAAGAATTAAACCACATTATGAACCCTATTCACTGTAATACTTCAGTAATAATTTATTCAAACAAGTAAAATACTCTTAGTTACTGTTGTTGAAGGGCATTTAATGATCGTCAATGAAAAAGGACAGCAAGTCAGTGAGCTTGATTTCCATCGCATAACCAGGGTAAATACTTAATCAATATACATCAATTTGCAGTTTTGTAAATTCATAACTCACATAGCATAGCTCAAAAGTGAAGTCTGCGGTTTTTTTTTTCCTTCTGTAATTTTTCTATTGTCAAATTATATTAAATTACGTGTTGTAACAAATATGACAATGTTTGAGAAAAAATCCATAGCAACAGATATTGTTCCATAACAACCATTCAAATATCCTTATAAGATACACGTGACAGATTTTTATATTGATAGATGGATGTATAGGAGAATGTAGTTCAATCACCTGCCCTGATTTATATTGATTGACAATGTGTGTATGAAATATATGTCAGTGCATGATACAGGAATATATACAACATTACAATGTATGAAATATATACCAGCGCATGATACAGGAATATATACAACATTACAATGTATGAAATGCATGCAGCTTGATAATGGAAAAGTCATTTTCCCGACCTAGCAGAACATATATGGATTTCACAGCTAAAGCACAGACAAATGAGTATTAACAGAAATTACCAATGGATTTTGTAATGAAATATTACTGGATTTGACCACAAACCTGAAATGTTATATAGATCTAATGAAAGCACATATCAGGGTTTACATTAGAAAGACGAAATGGCAAAATTTCATATATATGGATAACGAGAATTTAACAATAATTGCAGCTGAAATATGATAACGAAATTTAGAAAAAAATGGCTATAGTGCTGCCTTGTCAATTATTTCAACTAAAACCCATATACTGACACTAATAACTGATTCAATAGAGTTATTAATCAAATTTACCAAAAAATAATTCGGAAAATTTTATATTGGCTATAATTAATTTCATTTTAATTAAATGCGATGTTAGTGTATCGGTTTAGAGCGTGTGATAGCCTCCTTGTGGTAGGACCCGGTACCTTAATGTAGAGCTGAATTTTCGAAATGTAGGGTGGGATGGGGGTAATCAACTACTGGCTATTAATTTATTCCATATGGATTTTATCAACAAAAGTTCAACAGTAAGAACTTCATGATTACGTTTTTTTTATTTTTTTTTTTGTATTTTGAATACCTTGTAAATAAATTCCCCAGGTCACATTACAAATAAGCTAATCTTTCATCAATTTCAACGATTAATGTTCCCTCAGAAGCCAACACCTGAGGGCTAACATTTAGATATTTTTTCGATATGTGATAGAAGAAGAACTATTGCCACTGCATAGCCTGCTTCATTATATAAAATGTATGGTGTGATTTTAGAAATGTATATTGTCTTAGTTACTATAGCGCAAAGAATATATCTAAACTATAAACCAATATATGTATATATATATTGATTAACAATCAACCATCCTCTCTAACAATAGTCATCACGTGAAGGCTCCCCAGCCCTTCTAAGTATTGTCCGACATCTCTGATTTTTATCACTTAATTTTCATGTCATCTCTTATAACCAGACAATAGATCATTCTGGTTATGTTTTCAAAACACTCTATCATCCTTGTCTCAACTTTGCATATACAGTAAAACATTGAAAAAGGATACAAATGTGAAATATTAAGTTAATAATATGAAATGATAATAAAGACTGACTGAATTAGTTTTGAAAATTAGCTCATCGAGTCTGTTAGAGAGTTAGATCAGTTAGTGAATTATTCTAGAAAATCTCTCATGCAGTAAGTTATTCCACGATTGACATTAAACAACGTTTGCACTCACTGTGTATAATTTCTCCAGATGGAGAAAGGAACTTAATCCATAAGTTGTACTTGATACTACTGGTATTTCACCTGGTTTAGATGAATCCTGCACGTTCATTATACACCACGAATTCATCATTTCCAGCTTATCTAATGGTTACTTTGTTTTGATCGCGCTTGATTCAACTGGTAAACTCGTGGGTAAGATCGCTGATTTTATTGGAACTTCATGGAGATCTGTAACATCCAAGTTAAGATACATAATTCTGGTTCAATATCAACGTTGTTAAGTTACCATTGCGATTACATGTAATAAATCTAGATTGACAATGATGACTTCATATGGTTATAGCTAAACTATTTGGTTCAATACATTGACAATCTAGATTGACAATGATGACTTCATATGGTTATAGCTAAACTATTTGGTTCAATACATTGACAATCTAGATTGAAAATGATGACTTCATATGGTTATAGCTAAACTATTTGGTTCAATACATTGACAATCTAGATTGAAAATGATGACTTCATATGGTTATAGCTAAACTATTTGGTTCAATACATCGACAATCTAGATTGACAATGATGCCTTCATATGGTTATAGCTAAATTATTTGGTTCAATACATTGACAATCTAGATTGGCAATGATGACTTCATATGGTTATAGCTAAACTATTTGGTTCAATACATTGACAATCTAGATTGACAATGATGACTTCATATGGTTATAGCTAAACTATTTGGTTCAATACATTGACAATCTAGATTGACAATGATGACTTAATATGGTTATAGCTAAACTATTTGGTTCAATACATTGACAATCTAGATTGAAAATGATGACTTCATATGGTTATAGCTAAACTATTTGGTTCAATACATTGACAATCTAGACTGACAATGATGACTTCATATGGTTATAGCTAAACTATTAGGTTCAATACATTGACAATCTAGACTGACAATGATGACTTCATATGGTTATAGCTAAACTATTTGGTTCAATACATCGACAATCTAGATTGACAATGATGCCTTCATATGGTTATAGCTAAATTATTTGGTTCAATACATCGACAATCTAGATTGGCAATGATGACTTCATATGGTTATAGCTAAACTATTTGGTTCAATACATCGACAATCTAGATTGACAATGATGACTTCATATGGTTATAGCTAAACTATTTGGTTCAATACATTGACAATCTAGATTGACAATGATGACTTCATATGGTTATAGCTAAACTATTTGGTTCAATACATTGACAATCTAGATTGAAAATGATGACTTCATATGGTTATAGCTAAACTATTTGGTTCAATACATTGACAATCTAGATTGACAATGATGACTTCATATGGTTATAGCTAAACTATTTGGTTCAATACATTGACAATCTAGATTGACAATGATGACTTCATATGGTTATAGCTAAACTATTTGGTTCAATACATTGACAATCTAGATTGACAATGATGACTTCATCTGGTTATAGCTAAACTATTTGGTTCAATACATTGACAATCTAGATTGACAATGATGACTTAATATGGTTATAGCTAAACTATTTGGTTCAATACATTGACAATCTAGATTGAAAATGATGACTTCATATGGTTATAGCTAAACTATTTGGTTCAATACATTGACAATCTAGATTGACAATGATGACTTCATATGGTTATAGCTAAACTATTTGGTTCAATACATTGACAATCTAGATTGACAATGATGACTTCATATGGTTATAGCTAAACTATTTGGTTCAATACATTGACAATCTAGATTGACAATGATGACTTCATATGGTTATAGCTAAACTATTTGGTTCAATACATTGACAATCTAGATTGACAATGATGACTTCATATGGTTATAGCTAAACTATTTGGTTCAATACATTGACAATCTAGATTGAAAATGATGACTTCATATGGTTATAGCTAAACTATTTGGTTCAATACATTGACAATCTAGATTGAAAATGATGACTTCATATGGTTATAGCTAAACTATTTGGTTCAATACATTGACAATCTAGATTGACAATGATGACTTCATATGGTTATAGCTAAACTATTTGGTTCAATACATTGACAATCTAGATTGACAATGATGCCTTCATATGGTTATAGCTAAACTATTTGGTTCAATACATTGACAATCTAGATTGACAATGATGACTTCATATGGTTATAGCTAAACTATTTGGTTCAATACATTGACAATCTAGATTGACAATGATGACTTCATATGGTTATAGCTAAACTATTTGGTTCAATACATTGACAATGAATTGCAAAACTAGTAAACCTGTAACCATAGGATAGCTTTACAGATTAAAAATCCATTGTTAAAACATAACGTCTTTCAGGTCAAAGTTCAAATAAAACGATCATCAGAACTAGCAACATTGTTTACGGTAGATACATCACGAAGGTCCATAATGGAACAGACAGGAGGAAAAAACAAGAGGTTCATCTTTGTTTTAATATTATCAAAATTATTTGCATATAATGTACATTTTAAATAATATCATGTATGGTATAAAGTGGAAATGAGTAAACAAGGTCTGATGACAAATCATACCTGCTTAAGAATCTTCCTATTTATCATTATCTCAAAGTCATAGGATCATTTTATGCTTCG